CTTCTTCTATGGGCTTTCCAGGGTTGCGAGCATGCCGTTCCGTGGCAAACGGAGGATATAACAAATTTGCACTCGGATGATCTTACCGGGTCGATTTCGACAGTTGGTCGACAAGTGCCTGGACAACTTCGACCTGCTGGAGCTGATGAGCGATGTTGGTTTGCAGGATGGTGCTTCTTGAAATCGCTTGCTGCGCAGATTTTCGCCTGCTATGAATTCGTGAATGAGCAGAACGTCCCTGACTTCAGCGTGGCCCGCGAGCAGTGCGCGAAGAACGCTGGCAAGATGACCGCCCAGCAGATCACCGGGCAATGCGAGGAGAAGAAAATCGCGTGCCCCAGCCTTTCAAGATTCCCAGCTGGGCGCCCGCCCCAGGAAAAGAAGCTGATCGAACACTTCAAGCTTGAACGCTCCGCCCAAGTGTTGGCGTTGGAGATCGTGGCGGACTCAGACGGCCCAGCGACGGTTCTTGTCGGTCGCATTCGCGAGCTCATTGTCCCGAATAAGGTCGTCGTTGTTTCCCCTAAGAAGCGCGAGGGGTAGTGGACCACGGGTGGTGATGTGGAGGAAGCCGACCCAGAAGTTTCAGTGGTTGATGCTTACCGCGCAGCAATGGAGAATGATACCACAAGGTGGGCACGACCTCGCAGCAGTCCCGAATGCGACCGTGCCCGTCGACGGCGTGGCCCCGGCGACAACGACGGATCTGGTCGTTGCTCCGACACCCGCTGAGGACCGCAACGCCAAGTGCGACTTCTCAGGTAGCGCTCCGCTCAAAAAGCTGCTTAGCAACGTGTTCGGCTCTGTGTTCTTGCAGTTGCCAACATCTTGCAGTTGCCTACCTGGCCCCCGCCACTGACGAGTCGGGCGGCGCGAAAGTTACGACATCTACCAGAAGTCCGACGCCGTGACCAACTTCGAACCGTTCTGCCGCGTGGTGTCGCGCGAGGTGGCTGTGAACATGAACGCGGCCAGCTTGGTGCACCGCGGTCAATGTCACGGGGTGGACCTATACCTGGCGCCACTGGGTCAAATCGTGCATGGCAAGTCTGAGACGTGCTACGCCTGGATGGTCAAGCCTGCGAAGTTGCCCGCGGCCCCTAAACGCAAGGCCAATGCAAAGGGCAAGGCGAGGCCTCTTCCGCCACGTGAGACGGCGACGCACCACATCGAGTACAAGCCATTGGAGTTCGTCCTCACAGTGAGCGGCCAGAAGGTAGTTGTTTCGCTTGATCTGCCGCGCATCGTCCAGATTCCCGGCGTGCGCCCTGATGGCATCCCCCCTGAGGAGGGAGAGGATGACCGTCGATGGAGGCATCACCGCGGACAGTGGCGGACCCAGACCTTCCAAGAAACATGAGACGGAGAGTTCTTTGCCGCCTTCGACGGCGCTGGTCTTCGCTGGGAAGTAGTGCCCGACTTATATATAGGGTCGTTTTTTGTAGTTGCAGCTGCAGTTGGAGTTGACGAACGTGGGCTCGTAGGTCGCATGCCGTGTTGATAGAGACGACTGCACACCAGCAGTGGTTTTGGCTGTTAGGCAATCGTGTGCTCGCAATTCATGGTCATGTCTCGCTCCACCGCCCGATAGGAAAAGGGCGACGATGATGATTCAACGCATTTGATTACTGGATCCACGCCCCAATAGCCCAGAAACGGACCACTCCGTTTGCACGACAGTGGCCGCGGTGACAATGACGAGCATCTCAACCGCTAGGTAGCTAGCTGCCCGCAAGCTTCAGCGTGAAGCGAAACATCGGCACCATCATCACCGTTCATGTGCATCCTCCTCTTTGCGTCCTCGTTCCTCCTATCTCGTTTCCTCTTCGTCATGTGGCAATTTCTGTTTTGCCGGAGGCTTCCAAGGCGTCCCAGTCGCTTCGTTTTGGCCGAATCTAGAGATCAGCGTATGCGAATCGCGAGCCCCGAACCAACACGAATACCACACTTACCTGATATCAGGACAAGGAAAATCACTTATAACATAACCGACGCATAGAACAAATGTAGTTGTGTTGCGCGGAATTCGAATGCACGCGTGTAGGAAAATCGAGCAACCTCGTATAACGTAGAACGACGATGGATCAATGACCAAGGCGCCACAGTCAACGGGCGAGGTCGCTGGATCGAAGCTTTCCCGGTTGCCTCAGTCCCACCGAAGCCCTCGGAAAAGGGCTCCCGCATGCGTCCGCCACACTCGGTGCAGCGTCCCGCGACGTGGCCCCATGTGGAGCTCCACCGCCACGCCCAGCACAGCGCTCTGTGGCCGTACAGGGAGCTCCACCGAAGGCCCCAGGGAGGGTGGCCACAGGCCACATGCGCCTGCCGCACCCGGTACAGCGCATCGTGGCTCCATAGGGAGCTCCACCGAAGACCCCAGTGGGCGTGGCCACATGCATCCGACACACCCGGTACAGCGCATCGTGACCCTACAGGGAGCTTCGCCTAAAGCCCCAGCGGGCGCGGCCACATGCGGCCGCCCGATGCATTTCGGGCACACATTTCACACGTTTCGTTGCCCCCATATGGAGCTCCACCTAAGGCCACAGTGGCGACGTTCGCATGCTTCCGGCCGACTCATGCCGGCTCACCCTCACATGTTTCGTAGCCCCATAGGGAGCTTCACCGAAGGCCCCAGCGGCGACGTTCGCATGCTCCCCCCCCGCCCACTGTGTTCGGCACACCCCTCACACGAACTTCGGCCCATGCCGAGCTTCACCGACAGTTCTCACACGTCCCACCTATTCGCCCCCCCCCTGCCTGCACTGCTCCGCGCATCGTCCTTCCTTCGGCGAGCCGCCTATAAGAGCAGAGGGTACACATTCGGAGTTTGCGTGCCCCCCTTTTTCGTCTCATCTTCCTTGGTTCTCGCAGTTGCATGGTTGGGTCTTCCGTCTGGATAATTCAGGCCATGGCCCGGCAGCCACGCGTTGCATGTACGACCCTCGCCGCACGCCTTGGCCCTGGTGCACACCTGACCTAAGATGGGTCGGGTGCGTGGGCCGAGGTTGAAGGGATGGAGAGAGGGAGGGAGGGAGGGAGAGGGGATGGAGAGGGCTCGTCGTCATCGTCGTCGGCGGCGGCAGCGGGGTCGTGATAATGGTCGCCGTCGTTGTCCGCCGTTCATGGGTTCGTCGCTGCTCGTCGTCGCAGTCTTGGTGGCCCCGTTATCCGTCGTCCGTCAATCATTCGTTTGTCGCCGCTCGTCGTTGTAGTCTTGTCGGAACCGTCGTTCGCCGTTTGTCATTCATTTGTTAGTCGTCGTTCTTGGTCGTCGTCAGCGCCGTCATTCGTCGTTTGATCGATCGTCGTCGTCGTTGGAAACCAAGGATTGAACTACATCGTTTTGATCGTGTATGTGTTTGTGGCAATGTAGGCTTCCAGGAGCCTCTGGAGACCTCCTACGACCTCTGGATTACCCTTAGAACCAGCATCGTCGTCGTTCGTGTTGAGGCGCCCGTCCCTCGTCGCGTGTCGTCCTCGTCGTTCGTCGTCCTTCGTCGTCGATCGTCGCTTTGCCGTCGTTCTGTCGTCGTTTGTAGTCCTCGTCGCTGCCACCGCCTTGGTCCTCGTTGTTGTCATTCGTCGATGTCGTTGTCGTTCGTCGCCGTCGTGGTCGTCGTCCTCGTTGTCGTCGGCGTCGTCTTCCGGCGTCATTCGTCATCACCCAGCGTCGTCGCCGTCGTTGCCGCAGTCTGTAGCCGACGACATTTTTCATTCGGGCGTTTAGACAGCGGCAGAGAGGCCGACGGGGGTCCGAAACGGGACCGAGCACCGAGCGAGACCGAGGGTCCAAGAGGCCGACGGGGCGGGTCCGGCATAAACGCCAAGCAGGACCCTGAAATCTCGAACATCAGTCAAGCTTTGAAGCTTCGAGCAGGGCTCATAAACATACGCGGGCGAAGCAGTTTAATGAGACGGTCAATGCCTACATTCCCACGTCCTGACGATCGTCCTTCTCACCTACCCACCGGTATCCAACTTATACGCATGAGCAGGGGCTAAGCATCGAGGAGAGGCGGGAGAGCAGGTGCAGCATTTCAGCTGCCCACCTCAGCGTCCTTCGCGCCGCGTCAATCGGTTGGGACTCTTGCCCTGGCCCTTTCAGCCTCGTGGCGCGCCTTTGCATCCTATGCAGCGCCCATTGTCAAGCTGCAGGTTGCTTGGGCTCAAGATTTGCAACATGGGTTCGGAGACTGCAGAACGAGCAGGAGGGGGAGGAAAAGATGAGGATCGATTGTGGTGGACGAAGAGGGAGCGAAGGTGAGGATGAGGAGGAGACGGAGAGTGATCCTGGGGATGGGGAGGGGAGCGGGGAGGAGCATGGAGAAGGTGGAAGGGAGTGGAAGTGAGCGTGGGAGGGAGTGATGGGTGAGGTGGGGAATCAAGGATTCAGTTGGGGAGTGGGGGGGGACGAGGTATGGCGTTGCAAGGCTTACCTTGAATTCTGAGTCTCCTTACTTGTGCACATGGTCACATGTCCTGTCATGCCACGTTAATGCCGAGCCGCTCCAAGTTAGATACGTTTGGACATCGATTCGTAGAACGTGCCGTCCAGCAGGCCATACATCGTACCGCAGCTTGCGTTATTGCGTGCCGCACAGCGCGCCGCATTGGGTACGCAACATCGTGTGCACAGTCCCTGCTGTACCGCGTAGCGTACCGCCGCGCGCAACGCAGCTCCGCGCCATGACATGGCGTATTCGTTGCATTGTGCCACACACTCACCTCTTATCAGTATTGGTCTGCTCTGAATGCGCTTCTTCTTGTATATGCTGATCTACGTGCTGACAGTCATCGGCATCAGTTTGAGTTTGGATCCCCACCTTGCTCTCATGTGCACGTTGATCTGTCGTTTCACCAAGCTTGCACGCCTACGATACGCTTCCTGATCAGGGCGCTGATGTGACGAACTACTCACATTGCTGCTGCTGCTGCTGCTGCGCATCGTCCTCTTTGTCTTGCTACTGGTCATCGTGCTGCCACTGATCCTGCTCCGTAGCCGCCTAGGCCAAAGCCACGATTGACCTGGCAGACCATCCTGCGCACTGCAAATACTTGTTTGATTCGGACCCACAACACTTTCCGGCATAACTTAGTCAGCGATGGGTGCTCCATGCACGGCCATCGTATTTCTCCTGGGTCTCACATGCTTCGGGCGCGCCATGACTTTGGGCGTGCACAGCCAGAAGCACAAACACGTCGACAAGCACCGACGTAAACACAAGCACAAGTATGGCGACCCAGAGGAGGAATCATCGGGCCCCATCGTGAACCTCTCCCCGGAGCAGCGCCAGCAGAAGCACCAGGAGGAGTTCGAAAAGGAGTTCGAGATAAAAATCGGCATGCTCCATGCGCACAACACTGGCCTCAGACTGGGCGTAGTGCTCGACTCGCTCAACGACTGGGAGCCCCCAGAAGTAATTTCGTTTCGTAAGCCGAGCCTGATTGAGGAATGGAATAAGGCTAACCCGGACAAGGCCGTCCATCTTCACGACAGGATCGTGAGAGTCAACAACATATTGTTTCACCATAACGCGGAGAATTTCATCGAGCGCATCGTGGGGCAATTCCAGGCGGGTCGCAAGCTGACGGACGGGGCGAAAGACGTGTTGACATTACAGGTTCAGCGGCCGAGGACTAATGACGTCGATGTCACTCGTTTTGATTTTCAGCGCAAGGACCTTCACGATAAGCTGTACGCCAAGGAGTTCACAGTCTACCCGACCGTGCCCGAGAACGAGACGTCGCCCGTAAACATGGACAGGGTGCTGGGGTGGGATCTGAACCTCACGACTGATTGGGAGCCAGCGACGATCGGCAAGATCGCGAACGGAAGCGTGCTCGCGCAGTGGAACGGTGCCCACCCGAGCGACATGATACTGCAAGGTGACGAGATCCTTCACGTGAACAAACGGCACTGGCTCCGCAACACCTCGCAATTCCTGCCTCACCTCGCCTACAACTACCAGCACCGCGCAGAGCGCAACGGGACCTTTGCGCTCGGTCTGCGGAGGCCCCGGTGGGTCCAGGATGTTTACGACCAGGCCCGGGAGCTCGATGAGCAGAAGAACCATTTGGCCAAGGAGCGCGAGGATCTCTACAAGAAGACGTACTGCAGGGAGTTCACGGTTTGCTTGATTGTGCCCGTGAACGAGACGTCGTCGGCAACAATGGGCAGCGTTCTGGGCTGGAAGCTGGATTCCACGAAGGACTGGGAGCCCGTCTCGATCGGCAAGATCGCGAAGGGTGGGGTTCTCTCGCATTGGAACGAGGCCAACCCAGGCGATATGATTCTGGAGGGAGACCAGATCCTCCATGTAAACAAGAGGCACTGGCTGCACAACACAACTCTCTTCCTGTCCCACATCAGTTTCAACTATGAACACCGCGCCGCGCTGGTGGGCAACGGGACGTTTACGCTCGGTCTGCGCAGGCCCCGGTGGGTCCAGGACGCCTATGACCAGGCCCAGCTGGCTGCACAGAGGGCGAAAGAGCAGGCCAAGGCCGACGAGGAGTCGCACCGCGTTGCTCGGAAGATCGTGGCCGCTGTGAGGATGTGGAATAACGACTTCCCTCGCTATAGGATCGATACAAGCAGCAGTGCTGGCGGGAAGCCCAGCAGCGGCGCCTCAGCGGCAGTGTTGACGGGAACTTCATCAGCAAGCTCGGCCGCTTCAATTGAGCCATCGGCCCCTGCGAAGAACTCGGGAGGCGAGCAGGACGACTCGGACGACGTGATCGGTGCCACAGAGGAAGAGGAGGACTCGGCGTCCAGCGCCCCAGCGCCAGAGGAGCCGGCCGCTGCGGCCAAGCCTTCGGCCCCAGCGGGCAGCTCGGGAGGCGAGCAGGACGACTCGGACGACGTGATCGGTGCCACAGAGGAGGACTCGGCGTCCAGCGCCCCTGCGCCAAAGGAGTCGGCCGCTGCGGCCAAGCCTTCGGCCCCAGCGGGCAGCTCGGGAGGCGAGCAGGACGACTCGGACGACGTGATCGGTGCCACAGAGGAAGAGGAGGACTCGGCGTCCAGCGCCCTTGCGCCAAAGGAGTCGGCCGCTGCCGCTAAGCCGTCGGCCCCAGCGGGCAATGCGGGAGGCGAGCAGGACGACTCGGACGACGTGATCGGTGCCACAGAGGAAGAGGAGGACTCGGCGTCCAGCGCCCCTGCACCGAAGGAGCCTGCCACTGGTAAGTCAACACCTGACGAGGAGGATGATGCTCCCTGATGCGGAGGATGATGACGTGTGGGGCCCGTCGGAGGAGACTAGCGGGAGGATGATGTGATGAGCGGTGCGTACGGGCAGATTGCAGTAGACACGGAGTTCTGGTTGACACCTTCTTTACAGTATGGCGCTGCACTCTGCACCTTAACATCTATATGGTCTGTGTTCCTTTTACTCTGTGGCTGCTCTCGTGCCCCCCCACAACTGGGCTTCCTTTCGTCTCATTCGTGTTCCGTGTCGCCCTTCGCGAGTGGCGTCCAGGTCGTGCCAGCTAGAGTTGGGTTCATCGGACCTGTTCCTGTCATGATGCTCTCCCATAGTGGATCTATCGAGCAAGAGTGTGTGGAGTCGTACAGCTGCAGCGCATCATGTACTTGGAGCTTAGATATCCTCGTGGACACTTCGTTTCAGTGGTGCCAAGACTGCATAAAAAAAAGCCGCGCCAAGGAATTCTGAGGACGTTGGGTTGAAGCGCCAGTCTTCTGAGTCGACGAACGAGCAGACCTGCGCACCAGGGAAGAACATGCAAATGACAGCTTGTGCGTTGCCGCCGGACGGCTGCCGCCAAGAGCGGACTCACCCACAGATTCAGACGGAATGGACAGCACAGGTGTCGTTCGCTACCTTTGGATCCTGCAACGAGCCCGCATGGCGGGAGTCATGGCGGCCCCCCTAGGGGGAAATTAGCACACACACACAGCCCCACACAAGCACAGACAGTTAAACGCAAGCACCCACGCAACACACACACATATATATATATATATATATATATATACACGCACGCACATGCACATGCACACGCACACACACACAACTTCACGATGCCCCCGTGCCCAATCGCTGGTGCATCTTGACGCTTCCGACTCCTTCTCCACGTCCCCCTCGCGCATCTTGGCCCAAGGGCCCCAGGGCTCAGTCCGTGCTCGAGCGCACTTCTAGCGATGAGTAAGCCTGACGCGGCGCCGATCCCAGCCGCGGAGCGCGCTGGGAGTCGAGCCCCTGATCCCGCCCTGACAGCCTCTGGGGCCTCGGCTGATGACAGTGCTGAGCTGGACTCGTCGGCGAGTCCAAACCGAGCGGACTCGTCGGCGAGCTTACAATCACGAGCCCGATTGTCGATCCTGCGCGAGGCGACGGAGGAGATGCTGGTGGAGCTCCGCGGGGCGCCTCTCCAGAGCTGCTTCGACGGCCTCGGCAAGGTCTGGGCGACCTCCGCGGGGAGGACGAGCCACCACGCGCGCACGCGGGTGCGGGACCGTCTCGATTGCTTCGTCTCCCACGACTGGGGCACCAGCCGCTGGGTGAAGCTGTTGACCCTCCCGAAGAAAAAGTAAGGGCATAAACACAACTTTTCGGAGGTCCGCGCGGATTTCTCCGATCGGCGCTGCACCCCCCTCGCTGGCCTTGCCTGCGGCGCCGCCCCTGGCGTGCTCCGCGCGCAAGAGAGGGGGGGGCCAGCGCCGATCGAAGAAATCCGCGCGGAGCTCCGACAGCTCGTGTTCATGCCGTTGCATCTTCTTCGACCCTCGCCGTGCACTTCAACGGCATGCCGGCGCTCTTCGCGAGCTGCGCCGTGAGCGTGTTGGCCTTTGTGCTGCAGGTGGCGGGCGCGCTGACACAGCGGGCGCCGCCGCAGGATCGCCTCACGGCCGGGGTGGAGCACGTGGAGACCCGCGGAGTCTGGTGCTCGCAGGGGGGGAAACGTGCCCTCCTCCTCCCTCCTCCCTCCTCCCGCCTCCCTAAGGGTCCTGAGCTCCTTCTCCCCGTGTCGGGGCTCTCGGTTCTCGGGGCCCTCCACGGGCCCAGGGATCCACGGGCCCCGAACGAAGGATTGCAAAAAAAAGGATTGCAAAAAAACCCAGGATTGCAAAGGATTGCAAAGGGTTTTTTTTGCAATCCAGGTTTTTTTTTGCAAAAGGGTTTTTGTTGCAATCCTTCGTTTTTTTTTGCAATCCTTCGCAGGAAACGATTCAGGATGACGACCTCGTCCTGGGGGGAGGCCCGGGGATCCAGGGCCCGTTTCCCTCGGGGCCCGCTTCTCCCATGCTGAGGTGCTTCCCGGCCGGCCTCTGTACCTTCTTCTTCGTCCTCGTCTATTGGCAGGTTTGCCGTGAGGTTGTCCTGCCGGCGATCTACCTCTTCGTCGACAAGATGTGCATCAACCAGGGGGACTCCGAGGAGAAGCAGCGCGGGGTGTATTCGATCGGTGGCTTCCTCCAGAAGTCGGACGTGATGCTCATGCTGTGCACGCCCAGGTATTTCTCGCGGACGTGGTGCGCCTTTGAGGTGGCCGCGTGGTTGCGGCTCAAGGGCGTCGGCTCGATCATCTTCTTGCCCCCGAGCGACGCGGTGCTCACGGGCATCTTCTTCTCCATCGTGTTGTTCACCCACTGCGGCATCTACCTTGGCTGCCAGTTCCATGGTGTACCGTTGGGCCCTGTCTCGAACTGTCTCGCCTTTTTCGCTCCCCTCCCCCTAGTCCACGCGGCGAGGCTGGCGATGCGAGACCTGCTGTCGATGCCAGAGCTGCTGCGTGCGCACGACGTGGCTGAGACCAGTTGCTTCTGCTGCGATCACCAGCACGTTCACCCAGTGACAGGGTCCGCGCTCATGTGCGACCGCGTTGTGGTCTACGACGCGGTTAGCTGCTGGTACGGGAGCGACAGACCGCGTTCATCGCAGGAGATGATCGCATCCGCAAGCCAAACACTGTCGCACGAGATGACCGCAGCGATAGGCAGCGGTATAGCGGTTTTCAACGAAGAGGTCCAGACTCAGCTCTCGGAGGCACTCGAGGTCATGGTTGCCCGGCCAGTGAGCTACGCCACGTGCCTCATCTCTTCCGCGCCCTCAATGTGGTATTTCCTCGACGGCCTCACCGCCATTGCCTTAGACGGCCTGGGCGACCCTCACTTGACCGTCAAGCGCTCCTTGCGAATCTTCATCATCGGCTTCCTTCTCTGGCCACTCGCGCGCGCCAGCGTAGTGGCGATGGCGAGGCGCTTCCGGCACCGCGGCACGGATCGATGCGGTGAGTTTTGGCGCCTGGCCGCGGCCTTCGGGACTGGCTACCTTCCGATCTACGCTGGCTTCTTGTGGCTTGTTCTGGTCGCCTCTCCTCGCGAGAGTTTGGCGTTCGAGGCTGTGCTCGTGGCCCTGCTGGGCGTCTGGCTCGCCATCTTGCTGCGGCCCGCGCAAGTGACGGCTTCACCAACGCCGAGACGCGAAGTGACAGCGTGACAGCCCATGGGGCTGGATGGGGGTGGCTATCTCGCGCAGAGCCGAGCCGAAAATGACGGCCCCGCCATGGGGCCAGTTGAGGGTGGTCATCGCGGAGCAGATAATGACAGACACATGAACTTCTGGATGTCCTCGCTGCTCTCTTGGGTCGGCGGCGCTGGACCCTGCTGCCTGGCGCGAGGAGCGCGTCAGGGGCCGCGCCGGAGGCGCTGCCAGGGGGCTCCACCGCTGGCTGATCCGAGAAATCCGCGCGGACCTCCGAAAGTTGATGTTTATGTCATTGCTTGTTTCCCGAGGGCCTCTCGTGCAGTGCGAAAGCGAGCATGCTCGCATGCCTCCTGGTCTTCGGCAGGCCTCGCGAGCGCGTGCGCCAATCCTCGCCTAGGGGCCTCTCCCCTCGGCCTCGGTCCCGGGGCGCGGCACGCCGCGCGAAGAGGCCGAGCGGGCATACCCCTCCCCTGGGTGGGTGATGCTGGAGTGCGTGGTGGGCTGCGCGGGCGGGCTCGTGGAGGAGGAGGGTCAGAAGAGAGTCAGAAGAGGAACATCTACTCATAACGGCTGCATTTGCCCTGGAGGTCCAGGGAGTGGCGGTATTGTCACCTCTTTGGCAACCCAGAGGGAGAGGGAGGAGGAGGAGGAGGAGGAGGAGGAGGAGGAGGAGGAGGAGGAGGAGGAGGAGGAGGAGGAAGGGGAAATGGCGCAGATTTCTGCATGTAGGGGGATGGAGCGTGGCGAGGCCCGAAAGGCAATTGGAAGTCCACGCAAGGCGGGACTCAATTGCACGCATTTTCGGCCCAGCGCTGCTTACAACGGCTGCGGAGGGGGGGGAGGGGCGAAAATGTTCAAACACGAGTCAATCACGTCCAGAGTCCAGAGCCTTAGGCCAAGTTTTTCGAAAGTGCGCCAGTGGATCTCCGTGAATACACTAAAGGGGGGGGGGGGGGCAGAACCGTAAGGTGCTGGATTCGGTACCATTTGAATGTGGGTGTACACAAGCATACAATTAGTATGCTTTTTGGAAGCGATATATGTGTATGTGGCATAATGCATATATGGTGTGTTTACACATATATATATATAAACAATGTATATACGTGAGCTTCTATGCACATGAATGCGTGTATATGTATATCCACATTGTACATGTATAAACATAAAGTGTGTCACAAGTAAATGTGTAAAAAAGTACATATACACATATATATATGTATATATATATGTATACATACATATATATTTATATATATATATATATATATATAGGGAGCTCCGCCGAAGGCCCAAACCAGGTGCGGGATCGGGTACCATTTGCGGGATCGGGTACCATTTGACTGTGGGTGCACAACAGCACGCAACATGCAAATGTGTTGTAAGTATTATGAGTGTGCATGGTAAGTACACATAAGGTGTGCATGCGCGCATATACATGTATGTATAAATATGATCAAATATATTCATGTACATATTATTCAGGCGTGGTGCGCACGCATACTTAGACGTAGTGTATGTATGGGTTGTTAAATAATGAATCCGGTTAAGACATCTACAATCTGATTATGTGTATACATTAAACAACGAAATGTGACAATGTTCTTTATATAATGTATGCACACACCTGTATGATAAATACATGTAACCACATCAATACAATCGGTAACCGTGCATATATATAAATATCACAAAACACATTCGCGTATATATGTATATAAAGATATACTCACATATATACATATGCATACAACATATGTGTACGGCGTAAATGAACACGCGGGTTCAACATACTCATTTCTTACAATACGCATAGACATTCAAAGTTGTCAACATCCAAGAAATGCGTCCACGTATATAAATTATTCACATACACATGTGTAACTAACAATATATATATATATATATATATATATATATATGCATATATGTGTGTATACAGGTATATGTATATATGTATATGAATACGTGTATATATACACATGCTCAGACTACACACGCGAGATGCGCGCCCATACTTCGACGTACTTTCCGACACCCATATACAGAAAGTCATGCAGCGCGCATATGCGTATTTTATATATGCGTGCTCTTGGGAAACCAGGGAAAACGAGAGGTACCCTGTGCACGTATACGGTACACACATGTGTCGGTTGTGTATTGTGTACGTGTGCGTGCGCACGTACAGCGCACATTCATGCATGATCATGCGCATGTCCGTCAGCATGTGCACTGCACGTGCACATGTGTATGTTTATAATGTGCATGTGTATGCACACACATGCTGCGCGCGTGCTTGCACAGACGTGGTGATGCAATCCAGTGCGTCCAATGCGCACGCTGGTCTCAGCAGTAGGTTTGTACGCGTGCACAAACGCGAGAACGCGGTGGATTGCACATATGCGCATGCGCGCGCATCCTTTCCCGACGGCCTCCGGAACGAACACGGCGAGTGCAGCGAAGGGCGGCTGCGAAAAAAAATGGGGCCTTGGACGCCCGAGAACCGAGTCGAGAATGCAGCGAACAATCTACGCCACGGAGTGAAAGAGGGAGAGGACGAGAAGGAAAAGGAGTGCAGGCCGAGACGACGGTCGTCGCGCTCGGCATCGGATTAACGAGAATGGAAGGGCGCGCCGGCGCGCGCGCGTCGGAATGCCAGCCCCCTGCGCGCCTGCACGTTGCGGCGAGGAGGGCGGGCCGTGGCCCGCGGCAGGCCCTCAGCGGGACCGCTTGGCCTTGCGGCTCACGTCAAGGGCTCGCTGGGCAGCGGCGCGATCCCGCTGGGATGCGCGGAGGTCTGCGCGGCGCGCGGCCCCCTCCTCGGACGCGGCCACTATGGGCGTGCGCAGCTGCGCGCGGTCTGCGATGGCGACCGGAGCGCCGCTCGCAAACGCGGGCGTCACTCCCTTGGAGAGGGCACCCGCGAGCAGCGCGATCCTGGAGGCTACCCAAATGGGGTCGAAGCACGCGGGGAGGGGGGGGGTCGGAAGAACGCGCCGCATCGCAGATGCATCGGCGATGCGTCGGCGACGCTGGGGCGGAGAAAAACTGGCTCAGGTTTGCGCTGCATCGCCGATGCAACAACGATGCGGGGCGACCCTCCGACTCCCCGTCTACTTCAACCCCACGTGGGGAACCCCGCGAGCCTCCACCCCTCGCGAAGAACCACTGTGCCCTGCTTGCAGGAGTGCGCGAGCGCCTTGTAGATGCCGAAAATCTTGCCCCCGAGGACGATGCGCTCCTGGTGGCACTGATACACGCAGCGCCCCCAGTCCTTCACCTGGCGATGGATGGCCTCGTTCCGCATCGTGCTCTTCAGCACGTCCGGGTGCAGGCGCCTGAACACGGACACGCTCTGCGTGTAATAGAAGTGCGAGCCCGCGCGCTGAAGGTGCACCAGCACTGACACCCCCTTCAGATCCTTGCGGGTCAAAGTGCTCGGGTACATCAACGCGATGCGCCGGAGGGCCCCGATGTATTCGCGCACGCTGGTGAACGGCTTCTCGATGTACGCCGCCCACTGGGCATCGGTGAACACTCGTCCTGGCCGAACCTTGTCCCACTCGGGAATGGGTTTGCGCTCGCCGTGGTAAATGTCCCACTCCGGCGGCGCGGGGCACTGGAACTTCTTGTGCAGCTTCAGCACTCGCCATGACAGCGCTGTCCTGCGCTCGTGGGTGCACCCGTCGATCCTCATCGATAAGTGCACGGGGTCTTCCGCCACTCCGCGGCAGTTCGGCAGGTGGCGGAGGAAGTACTCGCTCGGGGAATCCGACAGAATGTATTCCACCTGCGAGATCGCCGACTGCGGCAGGAGCTCGGCGAGAGCTCGCGCGAAATCATCCTCCCCCTCCGAGCGCTGCCCGCTCCGCCCTGGACAATGCCCAGACTGCGCCGCGAAAGTGTGGAGCGCGTGAACTTCGCCTGCCTTCTGCGACATGGGCGTCTGCCCGATGATGGAGAACGCGGCTTTGAACGCGGCGTCGTGGCTGATGCATTTGAACTCCCCGTTCGCCACTGCCGCGTCAACGACCTGTTTCGCCATTGAAACCACGCCGCTCTCAGGGGAGGTGAAGATGTGATCCACGAGCTCGCAGATCGACTCTTGGGCCTGCCTCCCGAACAGCAACGTCGCCCGGTTGTCCGGCGCCGAGAGCGCCACGAGGTCCTGCAGGACGGTCGCGAGGTGGAACTTGCGGCGCAGGACGATTGACGTGATCAGGTCCTGAAAACCGGCCGTGTAATACACCTTGGCGCCCAGGCGCCGGGCATCCCCAGCCTGGCTCTTCAATTTCAGCACGGCCCCGCTCTCTGTCCACACCGCGACGAGTTGAAGCTCGTTGGACCGCCTCAGCACTCCGAGCACCTGCTCGGGAGGCCGGCACCAATCGCGGATGAGCGCGGCCGCCGAGGACAGCAAGTCGTCGGGCAGTGCCCCGGGATGGAGAATCGAACACACTCTCCGCTGATTGAAGATCGCCCGGGCAATCTTGAACTGGGCGTCCATGCTGCAGGCCGAGTACCCCCTCTCCTCCGTGTGATAGGTCTTCACGTGGTGCACCAATTTTCTTTTCTCCGCAAACGCCCGGAACGCGCACTTCTTGCACGCGCAGGTATCCAGCGCGACCCGGCCCTCCAACAGGTCCAGATACTCCCGACACTCCCTCTTCAGCGACTCCCAGAACGCCCGCTCCCCTTCCTTCATCTTGTCGTCTTCTCCCTCGCTCGGGCCGCCCTCGCCCTCGTCGTCAACCGCGGGGAGCAGGACCTCGCCCTCGTCATCGGCGCCAGCCATCTCGCGGAGACGCTCGTCCGAGCGAACGTCGCGCCCGTCGGTCGCAGGGCCGCGGAACGCCCAGGCGACGTCGCAGCGCTGCGCGGCCAGGTCCACGACGCAGGGTTCTGGGGCGCCGCCCGCGCCCCGCAGGAGAACCACGGGCGGCTCGTCCGAGGAGATCACCAGCGGGTCGCCGTGGCCAGGATCTCCGCGAGCATGGAGGATGTATCCGCCAGGCTCGAGGGACTGCAGGTCGACGTGGTCCATTAAATCCAGCGAGTGGAACTCCCGCGCCGCGTCGGCCGCGTCTGCGTAGCTGTGGGGGCCAGAAGAGAAAGCAAAATCAAGGAACTTCTGAGAGCGCGCGAGATGCTGGGACAGGGCGAGGAGCGACCACGGCATGCAATTGTTTCCAGCAGCCAAACACTGAGCGTACACGGCCTCGTTGGCGGCGCGCGGAGACCGCTTGCCGAAGAACCTCGCTCGTTTCACAGGCGGCTCCTCTGGCGGCACGCCGGTGCGCGTTGCTCTCATGGGTGCCGCGAGTTGTCGGCGCACTAGCGAGTGCTGGTAGAACGCCAAGCTCGCCGACGCGTCGTCCTGGGCGGACTGCTCTCGGGATGCGCGCGACGACTTGATGCGGACACCGCCGGCGGCGAACATCGTGTCTGACGCCGTCTGCGCGAGCTGCCGCAACCGGTCGCCCACCAGCAGGTACGGCGGCGGAACGAAGTAGACAGCGTCGAAGCAGAGGCACACGGGCTGAATTTTGTGGTAGCTCTGGAAGTCAAGCAGCAATCCCAGCGCGGCGTTCTCGGAGTCCTGCAGGAACAAAGCGATGGCGGTGGAATCGGGGTGCTCCGCGCTCTTCGCCTTCTCCATGTTCGCGATGGGCTCAAACCGCGGCGACTTCGCTGCGATCAGGGGGATCGCTTCCCTCAGCTGATGCCGAAGCTCCAGCGCGCACGGCAAGACGTGGGAGCCCCTGTCCCCGGCGCCCGGCTCCCACTCTTCGTCCGGGCGGCACCTGCCTCGAGGATGCACCAAGCGATTCAACAACTGCTTGGCCTCGTCCACGCTGATGCCGCAGTACTCGGCGATCTTCTCTCGCCACACGGCGGGCGACGCCACGTACCTCGCGATCTGCACGAAGCGCTCCCCCGCGTCCTCCGTCGGGGCGACCTGGCGCAGCTCCCACAGCAGACGCGAGTAAGCAGCCACGGTGAAGTCCCACTCCACGACCGGCAAATTCCCCCAGCTGCACGCGCGCGCCGAGCGACGAGCAGCTTGGCAACTCGGTGCGGGGGCGCATGCTCGACCGATGTCCTCGAGCTGACTGTGCTCCTCGTCGAGCCACTGGAAGCACGACGTGCCCACCTTCAGCTCTCCCCCCTCCTCGTAGGCGCGCCGCCTCCACGATGCGCACATGGCGCGATCGCCCGGCTCGGCGCCGGGGTCAGACGCGATCCTCGCGGCCTCGGCAGCCAGGCTCTCCACGTGGACGACAGAGGGCACGCGGTACGCAAGGGTGTGGGCAGGCGTCGGGGGGCGCGCGGACGCGGGCGTCGCGTCGAAAGCCTGGCACCCATCCTTCTGCGCGAAAGAGTCGTGGAAGGGGGAGTACGCGCACGAGCCCATGGCCCCGAAGGCGTCCGCGTCGGAGATGACCGCGTCGTACAGCGCCACGTCCAACGGCAGCAGCTCCACTGCCTTTTGGGACTGCTTCTTTCGGGACACGTACGAAGTCACCCACATCAGCGTCGCCCCGACTCTTCCGGCATTCCTGATGACTTTCTGCACTTCCAAGAATCGCTCGTTCTTTTTGCCCTGAGACTTCTCCTTTGTGATTTCCCACTCGGGAACTTTGCGACCTGCGCCTTTCGTTGACCACCTCGCGTGCTCCTCCTTGCACGTCTGAACTGCTTTCTCGAGTTCGTCGACGGGTGCCGGCGCGGACGGCGCACCTGGCTCGCCGTCGTCCATTTGCTCGGCGCTGAACCACCTCCACCCAGAAGCGACTGGTCTTGGTTCCCCGATCCACCAGTTCGTCAAGGTCCTTCACTTTCTGCCTGCGCTGCACGAGGATCAACAGGAACCCGAGCCCGAAGTCCTCGCTCATGGCCCGGTCCTCGATCTTGGGATCCTTGCGGAACTGCCTCGGCGAAGTGAACTTTTCGCCATCGCCCACGAACTTGTTCGGCATTCTCAGCACCAAGACCCCGTCCTTCTCCGAGTTCTTCGGGGGGACGGCAAAGCGCACCGGGCCGTTCGTCGAAAACAAGAACGTAAAAGTGGGCGAGTGTTTCTCCACGACCTTGCTGTTGCAACCGCGGCACGGCACCTTGTCGCGGGAGACCTTGTTCTTGAAGGTTGAATTGCTCCACGGCTGCTCGGGCGGCTCGTTCGTGGCCGCGATGCGCGCCCCCTGGCGGTCCAACGCGCTCGCGTTGTGCTCATCCTCCGTGCGCCGCTCTTCCAGGAAGATCGTGTTCTTGACGGGGGCGCAATAGCTTCCGAACACGCTCTCCGGCATCTTCTCCAACAGCCCCTTGCCGTTCCGCCCGCGCTCGGAGAACGGCGTGACCACCTTCTGGAGCGGGCGGCCTTCCAGCAGCCGCGCCACGAGGGATATGAAGAAGTCGAAGTTCTCGTGGTCGCAGTCCCCCAGCTCGTCATAATGGTCACCCGGGTGGAAACCGCCTTCGCCCCTCTGCCAGATGCTCCAGAGCGAGTTCCAGACCAGGGTTCTCTGCTCGATCGACTGCGGCAAGACCTGGGACGGATCCTCCAACCATGCCTTCGGAATCGACACGGACGAACTTCTGTTGGTCATGTCCGACGGGCGAGACTCCTTGAAACAGTTCTTCGCCAGATCGAGCACGCAGTTGCGGCACTGAAAGATATCTGGGCTCGTGTCGAACACGGGGTCCAACTTGAAGAAGATGGCGCACTGGTCCATTAACGCCTTAACGGTGCCCTTGCCCTCCACCGCCGCGACGAGCTTCTCCAGGAACGCTGTGCGGATGTGCTCCTCGCCCTCCGAGTTCAGCGGGAAGGACCTCCCTCGCGGCCTTCAAGAACCCCGTCTGCATGAACTCCATAACGCTTTTCGTGCCGTCTTTCAGCGTCCAGCCCTGCTCGTCCCACGTGAACCAGGCGCCGTGGCTGACGTGGTACAAGAGGCTGCGTTCCTTAGACTCGAAATAGAGGTACACGCATTCTGCCTGGAGGAGCATGCCGTTGTCCACGCTCCAATCAAGGTCCACCAGGTACTTGAGAATGACCTCGCACTTCGCCGCGCCGACGTGTCTCCCGAGGTGCTCGTCGAGATGTTTCGTCAGGCTATGCGCGGGCGGCTTCTCCCCGGGCTTCTCGAAAGCGTTTGCCAGGTCGTCGTCGGGGAGAGGGGGTGGCACGCTCGGGCCCGCGGCAGACGCCGCCTCCTCTGCGTCGGCCGCGCTTGCGCCAGCTTGGCTGGGGCGACCGCTGGGGGGGGCGGCGGGCGCGCTCGGAGCCGCGGCAAACGCCGCCCCCTCCCTCGCGGCGGCCGCGCTTTCGCAGGCCTGGCCGGGGGAGTCGCCCGCCAAGTTCGAAGGGAGAATCCTGATCAGCTCTTGCGTCAGTGCAACGGCGGGCGCCTCCGCCTCCCTCGCCTCGTCGCCCACTGGACCCGGCTCGCTCTCGCAGTCAGATCCACCGCCGGCTCTCAGACCTGCGCAGAGTGGAAAACGCCAGCCACCATCAATGAACAAGAGCTGCCCGCAGACCAGCTCCACGCGACGCGCTAAGTGCGCAATCTTCACGAAGTGCCTGCTGTAGCCCCTCCAGACGCAAGCCATGTCGGTATCGGGCAGGACAGCCACTGGGCGACAATGCCTTCGGTGGTGGAAGAAGTACGACCTGGGGCGGAGCGCATGCTGCCCTTGCCGCGCGGTCTCCAATCCTGCAAATCCCAAGGATAAGCCGAAATGGGCGGCCACGTCGGCGTAGCGACGCGTCGAGCCACGGCGCACGGGAAACCGTCGGCAGTAGTCGATGGCGCCGCGGAAGTCGCCCGACAGCACGGCGTACGATAGCACTATGCAATTGCCGTCCTGGGAGAGCACGCGGGCACCACGCAAGGCCGGGGCCGATCCCTCCAGCCAAACTCCAGGCCTCTCTGCTGCTGCGAGCGTCGCTGCGTCCACCGGCGCTGCGTCCACGACTCGCGCCATGGCATCGCGCCATCGCTGCGCGCTGCGCCCCCACTCCCGCTTGCTGACGTTCGGCAGCATGGGGTCCGGAGTCGCGGGCCTGTCATCCTCATCCAGCTCGCCGGTGCTGCACATCATTTGAACCTCCACGTGCCCCAACGACTGTTTGATCGAGGACACCGCTCTCCATCGGATCTGGTTGCGGGGGCTCGTCGTCTGCGAGCGGTGGCGCGCCGCCCGCGGGCCCCCGCGAGCCGCCTGCCGAGAGCGGGCGACCCACCGCGGCCAGGAAACGTTCCGCCCGGGCACCGAAGTCGGACCTCCAATTGCCCTCCTCCCAGATCAACCATGCCAGCAACGCGGCCCTCCCGCCGGCCATCCGCTCCAGCATGTCCTTCTCCCGCAGGAACTGATCGCAAGTCATGCGTCTGGACAAGTGATACAGCTCCACCTGCGCCGCGGTGAACGCGCACTGAGCGCGCGGGCGTTCGAGGTGGTCGAAGCTCGCCTTGAGCTGGAAGGAGGGGGGCAGCTTGTCTGCATCGCCCAGACCCCGATGCCGATAGCAGCGGCCCGTCGTGTGCACCTGCGCCTCCGGGGCCGCCGGCTCGCGCCCCTCCTGCGGCGGCGGCGCGTCGAAGTCAGGCGTGGCATTGTCGTTGTCGGGCAGCGCCTCGGGGAAATCGTTCCTCCTCCGGGCTTCTGCGTCCAGGGCCAAGCCGCGGCCCCCGTCGCACTCAAGCCGCTCCTTCAAGACGCGCTGGTACAGGAGAGTCGAGGCGTGATTCATCTCGCCGAGCGGCGTGCCGCTGCCGCCGACCGATCGCCAGGGGGCGCTCCTCCATTCGAACGGGATGCTCTCGCTGATGATGTCGGGCATCGTCCTGAGCAGGTACATCAGGCGCCAGGCAATTGCCCCATAGCGCTTCTCCAGGGCCCCGGCCTGCTGGATGATCTCGTCCAGGCTGAAGATGCCCATCCGGCAGCGCACGAAAAGGTCACCCTGTTCCTCGAGGCGGGGGAGGGGCGGGGAGGGGCGAGGGAGAGGAAAGGGGCGGGTGCAGGGAAGGGAAGGGAGGGGGTTCGAGATGCGGGGCATATTTATTGTCCCGGGGCGGTCCTCGACGAACTCCGCCAGGAATTGGTCGGGCTCTGTCTCCTCGCCCCCCCCTGCGGACATGCCCTCGAGTGCCGACTCGGCCATCCTCATGTTCAGCTCGTTGAAAATATTTGCCGGGGATGGCCCGGGCGAGCCACCCTCGCCCCCCGCGGTCGCGACCTCGCCTCCTGGGGGCGCGCCCCCGGGCACGGGCGCCGCCAAGTCCTGGTTCGGCTCCTCGACGAAGTCCAACAAGCCCAGGTGGGGCGCCGCGCCCATGCCTCCGGCGGACGCGCCCCCGAGCGTCGACGCGGCCACCTCCCCCCCGTTCGGATTCACGATGGACTCGACCGGGGCCTGCTCGAGCGTCGCATCCACGCCTCCAGAGAGCGCGGCCCCGCGCGCCGAATCGGCCATCTCCTCGTTCGGCGCGCCACCGTCGACGCCGGCGCCGCGCCCCCTCGCCCCCGCGCCGCCCGGGCGGGAAGGCGCATCGCAACGGCGCGTCGCCGGGGCGACCGGGGTCAGCGTCGCGCGGGGGACAGCGAACTCTGTGAGGATCTCGTCGAAGGCATCGATGTCGGAAGGGCTGGAAGTGCTGCGGCCGCGAGCAGACGACGCCTTCCAGCGAGACTTCGCCAACCGCAACGCGGGCATGGACGTCTTCGGGCTGGGTTTCGGCGCCGCCGAGCCTGCGTCGGAGGCACTCCCCTGCGTGCACGCGCGCCACCACGCCCGCGTCGACGCGGGCGCCTGCCTCAGCATGCCCCTCGCCGTCTTGACCACGGTGCCAGCGGCGTTCGCCTGGCAGCCGCGAGCCGGCGGGCCCAAGATGTTCTCGTTGATGTAGCTGAGCTCGCGCACGAGGCGGTTGCGCGTCTGCGGCAGCATGAGCAACCGGGGGCCACCGTCGCCGACCGCGGTCACCGACGGGGCATCAACGCTGCGCCCCGTTGAGGAGCTCTTGGCGGACTCGCCCGACGGGGAGGCCGGCGCCCGGCCCGCGGCGGCGAGGTAGGGGGCGACATCCGCCGGGGGCTCCTCGGCGTTCGGCTCAGCGGAATCCTCGCGGGCCACAGGCGGGGCGGCCTCGGTATGCTCCGGGCTCTGCAGTGTGACGACGAAGTCCGGCGAGGCCGGCGCTGCGCCCGCGGCGGCGGCGAGGGGGGGGGCGACGCCGGAAGAGTGCTTCTCGGCGCCGAGCACGTAGACAATCCCCGTGCGGGGGGGCATCGACAAGGCGCGCCGCTCCGAGCCGGCGTTCTTCGACCCCTCGAAGTGGATGAATGTTCCCTTCACCGGCAATGGGGGGGCTGGCGGCCGGGCAAGGACTGCCTCCACGCGCATGCGATCCATGTGAGCAAAGCGAAAGAGAGGTGATCCAGCTGCAGAACTACGCCCCTTCGGCTATCTCGAACCTAAATGGGCGATGAAACATGGCCGGACATCAAAGCGCAGATGGACTACTGCCCAAAGAAGACAGTTTCAAATCCACAACATCGCGAGCTCTCTTCAGGACCCCAAGGGAAGAGGCGCAGTGACAAGTGATGAAAGCGCAAAAACACATGCATTTCCCCGTGCGAACTCGCTAGATTCGTCAAAAACCATACGAAAACGCACATTCACCGTTAACGCGACGACCCGCGTCAACCGAAAACCAAACCGAGTGCAGTCACTCAACAGATAAATGTATCAAATCACGTGGGTTTTTCGAATTCCAAGCGAGTTCGCACGGGAAAAATGCATGCGTTTTCAACCGTCGAGCGCGCGCGGTTGCCAGCGGCGCGCGATGGCCGACGTCGGGCGGCGGCAACGATGCGGCGGCCAGGCGGGCGAGGCGGGCGCGCCTGCGGCCTGGCGTCGTCGCCGAGCCTCCGAATTCCCGAATTCCCAAGAATTCAGAAACCCATCCCTGCTGAATTCCTGGGAATTCGGGAATTCGCTGGAATTCGCTGGAATTCCCAGAATTCCCGCCTGGGATCCTTGGAAATTCGGGAATTCGCAGGAATGAATTCCCAGGAATTCAGAAACCCATCCCTGCTGAATTCCTGGGAATTCGGGAATTCGGGAATTCGCGAAATTCCTGCGAATTCCCGGGGTCCCTAGGAATTCGGTAATTCGGGAATTCGCAAGAAATTCCAGAATTCCCGAATTCCTTGGGTCCCTGGGACTTCGGGAATTCGCAGGAATTCAGCGAATTCCCGAATTCCCGAATTCCCAGGAATTCAGAAACCCGTCCCTGCTGAATTCCTGGGAATTCGGGAATTCGCAGGAATTTCGCGAATTCCCGAATTCATGGAGTCCTTGGGAATTCGGGAATTCGCAAGAAATCCACAAATTCCCGAATTCCCGAATTCCTGGGGGCCCTGGGAATTCGGGAATTCACAAGACTTCTCCGAAGTCCCGAATTCCCGAATTCCAAGGAATTCAGAAACCCATCCCTGCTGAATTCCTGGGAACTCAGGAATTCGCAGGAATTCGCAAGAATTTCCCGAATTCCCGAATTCCTGGAGCCCCTGGGAATTCGTGAATTCGCAAGAATTTTCCGAATTCTCGAATTCTCCGAAATCCTGAATTCCCGAATTCCCAGGAATTCAGAAACCCATCCCTGCTGAATTCCTGGGAATTCGGGAATTCAGGAATTCTCGAATTCGCAGAATTTCATGAATTCCCGAATTCCTCGAGTCCATGGGAGTTGGGGATGTCGCAAGAATTTTCTGACTTCCCGAATTCCCAGGAATTCAGAAACCCATCCCTGCTGAATTCTTGTGAATTCGGGAATTCGCAGGATTTTCCAGAATTCTTGAATTCCTCGGGTCCCTGGGAATACGGGGATTCTGGAATTCGTTGAATTCTTGCGAATTCCCGAGTTCCCAGGCACTCTAGGAATTCGGGAATTCAGGGAATTCCTGCGAATGCTCGAATTCCCGAATTCCCAGGAATTCAGCAGGGATGGGTTTCTGAATTCATGGGAATTCGGGAATCCGAGAATTCTGGAATTCGCTGATTCCCGAGAATTCAGAAACCCATCCCTGCTGAATTCCTCGGAATTCGGAATGCGGGAATTCGCAGGAATTTCCCGACTTCCCAAATTCCTAGAGTCCCTGGGAATTCGGGAATTCGCAGGAATTCAGCGAATTCCCGACTTCCCGAATTCCCGGATTCCAAGGAATTCAGAAACCCACCCCTGTTGAATTCATGGGAATTCGGGAATTCGGGAATTCGCATGAATTTCCAGAATTCCAGAATTCCTGGAATGCCTGTGAATTCTGGAATTCGCAATTATTAAACGAATTCCCGAATTCCCAGGAATTCAGAAACCCATCCCTGCTGAATTCTTGGAAATTCGGGAATTCGGGAATTCGCAAGAATTTCCAGAATTCTCGAATTCCGAGGGTCCCTGGGAATTCGGGAATTCGCAAGAATTCTCAGAATTCCAGAATTCCCGAATTCCCAGGAATTCAGAAACCCATCCCTATTGAATTCATGGGAATTCCCCGAATTCGGGAATTCGCAAGAATTTCCCGAATTCCCGAATGCTCTGGAATCTGGAAACCCATCCCTGCTGAATTCTGGGGAATTCGGGAATTCAGAAATTCACCGAATTCCCGAATTCAAAGGATCCGTGGGAAGTCTGGCCTTCACCCGAGTTCGAAAAGCAAAATCAACTAATCCCAAAAGAATATAGTTTCAACTACTCCCAACAGAAGCGAGTTTCAACTAGTCCCAAAAGTACGCAGTTTGAACTACTGCCCAAAGAAGACACTTGCAACTCCACAGCAACGCGAGCTCTCTTCAAGACCCCAGAGGAAGAGGCGCGACGACAAGTGATGAAAGCACAAAAACACACATGCATGTTTCCCCGTGCGAACTCGCTAGATTCATCAAACACAAGTGGAACACGCCCATTCACCGTTAACGCGGCGACCCGTGTCGACCGAAAACCAAACCGAGTGCAGTCACTGAACAGATAAATGTATCAAACCACTTGGGTTTTCGATTTCCAAGCGAGTTCGCACGGGAAAAATGCATGCGTTTTCAACCGTCGAGCGCGCGCGGTTGCCAGCGGCGCGCGATGGCTGACGTCGGGCGGCGGCAACGATGCGGCGGCCGGCCAGCAGCAGCAAGGCGAGCTCTCTTCTGGACTCCAGGGGAAGAGGCGCGACGATGATAAATGGAAGCGCAAAAACACATACATTCCCCCGTGCGAACTCGCTGGAATCATCAAAAACCATAGGAAAACGCACGTTCACCGTTAACGCGACGACCCCCGTCGACCGAAAACCAAACCGAGCCCAAGCGCTGAACAGATAAATGTATCAAATCATTTGGGTTTTTCAACTTCCAAGCGAGTTCGCACAGGAAACATGCACGCGTGTTCACCCGTCGCGCGCGCGCAATTGCCGGCGGGGCGCGATGGCCGACGTCGGGCGGCGGCGGCGATGCAGCGGCGGCCGGCCACGCGGGCGCGGCGGGCGCGCCTGCGGCCCTGGCGTCGTCGCCGAGCTTCATGATCGCGACGAAGATCGCCGCCGCCCGCCCTGCGCGCGAGGGCGGCTAGGCAGGCGATCAGGCCCGGCAAGGGTGATCGGAGCAGGCGCCATGGGCTAGGGGAGAGGGCAGGGGCGAGGGGCAGGGGCGGGCGTTCGCAAGAAAGGGAGCGGCGCAGTCGCTCCCCCTCGACGCGTCAGCCGACGCAGCGCTCAAGCCGGACAGGGTGGTCGGAGCTGGCGCCAAGGGCCGGGGAAAGGCAGCGGCGTCGCTCGAGAGGACCTGAGCAAGGCGAAGAGGACGGGGAGCGGCGACAGGGGGTCTGGCGAGAGTGGGGAAAAACGCAACGATGCCTGGATAAGGGGGGCGCAGGCGTGGGGCAGGAGCGAGCGTTCGCACGAAAGGAAGCGGCGCAGTCGCTCACCCTCGACGCGTCCCCCGACGCCAAGTAACTATGCACATTATACAGGAAACGCTGCGAATGCAGCGCCGCCAGCACGGCGCGCGCGCGCGAGGCCCGCCCCCACTGGGCCAGGCGGGGGCGCTTGAAACCAAAGATGGCGCTCACCCTGGCGGGCGACCACGCGCGAACCCCATTCTAACCCTGCAGGTCAGCGGTATCTAAGACGCAGGCTGGGGGTCTGATTCTGGGGGGACATTTAATCCGGAGGACAATCCCCCCACTGGCGGGGGTATCCGGCGCCTCCCCGGCGTCATTTCGACCTGCAGGGGCAGGGTTCGCACGCCGGCGCGAACCTGACGTTCTGGCGCTTCACCGCGTCGTCAATGCCCACCCAGGCCACGGGCGTGCACGGCGGCCAGCCCATCCCGACGCGGAGCTCGCTCTTCACTTTGAGGGGCGCCACTCCGACGCGAATGCCCGCGCCTCCTCCAGCCTACGGGGCAAGGGGCGCGTGGTGGGCCCGCGACCCTGTTCCGAGGCACTGAGGCTATAAGTTGCAACACGTCCAAAAGAGCAGGATGGGGGGACATGCCTACGCCTACGGCCTACGATAGATCCCCGATCGCCATCTGCACAGTCGACGACTCCGAGGTGTGGAGCACGTGATTGCGAACATCGCCGTCGCGATCGGAGGTGACATGGAGGTGGATCGCGCCCGCGTCGCGCTCGACGCCCGCGGCGTCGATCTCGATCGTGGCAGGCGCGACGCGGCGCGTGAAAACCTCGGCATCCGCTGTCAGTGAGCTCGCAGCGTTGCGGCGGGCCGACCCGCCCGCCTCCCATCCCCCATATTCCCCCCCCCCCCCCGCGCGGCAGAAACGGGGGGGCAGACAGCAGGCGGCAGCCATCGATGATCTTCGGGTCGAGCAGGTGGCCCCATCGCGACCAGCCGTCCGATCGCCTCGCGGCTTCGCTCGACCGCTGCAAGGCCACGGCAGGGAGTCCGCGCCGGCGGTCGACTGACCGAACGAGCAGACCATCTGGGACCGATCGACAGATCGCCCAGACATCGCGATCGATCCGGCCCGCGCACAGCGCGGCGCCCACGGCCGGGATCCGTTCGTCGGCTTCCACACGAGGCCGTGGTCCGCGATGAAGGGCGCCACGCACGACGTCAGGTGGTACTTGTAGAGGCCGTCGCGCATGCTGCCCAGGTGCATCGTGCCCTCGCCGGCCGCGACGCGGTCGCCCTGGCACTTCGGCAGCAGCTCCCAGTCCACGTGCTGGTTCGGGTCCTGCTCGTCCACCAGGAACTCGGCGTACTCGAAGACGTCGCCGTTCAGCGCCGCCATGCGCCGCGGGCCACAGGTGGCAAGCGAAGGGGGCAGGCTCGACAGTCCGTTTGGCCCGGGCGCGCAACTGAGCACGAGCAGCTGACGAAGGGCGCCTCAATGCCCTCCCAGTGCCCCCCCGTGACCCTGGGCGGCTCCTGGCGAACTCCCGAAGGACTCAATCGAGTTCTCCAATGGCCCGGGGCGGCTTGCGGCGGCCTCCAGCGGCCGCCGACCACGAATCCAGAGTCGAAGACATCGCGTCGGCCGCGCAGCAACGCGAGCTCTCTGGAGGGCCCCAGGGGAGGAGGCGACGAGGGATCCACGCACAAAAAACACAAGCATTTCCCCCCTCTGCGTACTCGCTGGATTCATCAAGCGCAGATATGAGTAAAACAAAACTCGTCCATTCACTGTTAACGCGGCGACCCACGTCCACCGAAAACCAAACCGAGCGCAGCTACTTAACAATTACGTGTATCAAGCCACGAGGGTGTCTGGGCTCCCAAGCGAGTTCGCACGAGAAAAGTCGGGCGGCGGCGGCGGTGCAGCGGCGGCCGGCCATGCGAGCGCGGCGGGCGCGCCTGCGGCCCGGGCGTCGTCGCCGAGCTCGATATCGTCGCGATGAAGATCGTCGCCGCCGGCCCTGAGCGCGAGGGGGGAGGGGGCGCGCGCGCCAAGAAGGAACGCACACCAAACAGATTCGGCCCAAAAGGAAACGGCATCGCCACTGGAACATTCCGGGCCCCCATCGCCCCTCTCAGCGAGCCGCGTTCGCTGGGGGAGATCGGCGCGGGGCTGAAATGGCTCGCCGCCACCTCGCCGCCCCGAGACGCCCTGAGATTCTGAAAACCCCAAGCCCCTGGAGCCCCCGACGCCCAAGCGCGCGCTGGGCTGCTGACCACGGGGCGCGGGGAGCCGCGGACGCCCTCAGTGGTCGGGGGGTGGGGGATTGCCTGGCTGCGATTTCTTTCTTTGAAAGGATGCGACCCGCGCGCGCAACAGAGAAGTCCATAGTTCGTATCTTCGCTCGCTTGCGCCCAGCCGACGCGCAGAGCAAGCGGCGCCAAATGGCGCACCCATGAAAAATGCTAGAGGTCTTTGTCTTATTGCATAGACAAGCTGAAATCATTACTTATGATACGCCATGATGCCACCCTAATATGTTATCCACTGCCCACCGCTGCCCAACTCCTCCTCCTCCTCTCCTCCTCCTCGTGCGCGCTGTCACCCTACCTGGAACTTGTGAAAGCAGGCAATCGGACTGTGCTGGATGGTTCAAAGTACTGCGCTCGCTTGCGATGCTTCTCCGAAGAGAAGTGGCCTGCGTCGCACCACGAGCTGCAGGCGGCGCACCAGGGAGCGACGCTTTGTCCGACTTCCCAGATGCGCAGCTCCACGCCTGGAGTGCCAATCGCTGGCGCGTGCGCGTAAAGGTCCAAGCGCAGGCTGCCAGTGACGTCGACCTCGCCGCGCATGGCGGCGGTGGCGGCCGGCGCGGGCGACCCCCACGCCGAGCCGGTCGCGGCTGGTTGCGACATATGCCACGGTGACCCTGCAGCCGGCGCGGGCGACCCCCACGCCGAGCCGGCCGCGGCAGGTGGCGGCGGAGGCCACGGTGACGCTGCAGCCGGCGCGGGCGACCCCCACGCCGAGCCGGCCGCGGCTGGCGATGGCGGAGGCCACGGCGACCCTGCAGCCGGCGCGGGCGACCCCCGCGCCGAACCGGCCGCGGCTGGCGGCGGCGGAGGCCACGGCGACTCCGCAGCGAGCGCGGGCGACCCCCACGCCGAGCCGGTCGCGGCTGGCGGCGGCGGATGCCACGGCGACCCTGCAGCCAGCGCGGGCGACCCCCACGCCGAGCCGGCTGCGGCTGGCGGCGGCGGAGGCCACGGCGACCCCGCAGCCGGCGCGGCCGACCCCCGCGCCGAGCTGGCCGCGGCTGGCGGCGGCGGAGGCCACGGCGACCCCGCGGCCAGCACGGGCGTCGGCGAGCTCCAGCAACCTGCGCTGGCGCCAGCGGACTGCGAGGCCCCGCAGACAGCGCCGGCAGAGACTGCGGCCACGCAACCAACGGACTCTGCGTCTCCGCCGCTGGCGGGCACTGGGGGGCCGCAGCTGGCGAAGGGGTCGGGAAGGCTGCCCTGGCAGGCAACGGCGGCGGCGGCCAGGCGGCCGGCGGCGTCGGGCTCTCGGGGACCTCATGCGTCGGCGGCGGCGGCTCCTCCGCCCCTTCCTGCAAGGGGGGGGGCAACGGCGCCTGGGCGGCGGCTGCCCAACCGGCGCACGCCCTCGCCAGCGCGACCGCGGCGCTCCGCTCGAAGTGGACGCCGTCGCCAGCAAGAGGGATTGCGCAAAGCTCCTCCTCGCCCGTCACGACGAATATGCCCGCGTCGCCGAGCGCTTTTCTCGTGAAGCGAGCCGCGGCCTCGTACCTCTCGCGAATCTCTGGGTCCTGCGCGCGCGCCGGGTACAGGCAATCCGAGACGACGAGCGTCGCGCGCCGACAGTGGGCTCGCAGCGCGCAAGCCAGCTGGCCCAAGTCCGCGGCGCAGGCGCCTCGGGTGCGCTCGAACTCCGGCGATGCCGACCAGACGTGCGGCGCGCCAGCTTTGTCCACCCAGGCGAGGTCGTTGACCTGGAGGCTACCAACAAAGGTGTCGAAGGAGTCTCCTTTCGCTTCCGCGGCTCTCTGCACGAGATCCGCCATCTCCCGGGCCCTCATGCCGCCCTTGCCCTCGAAGTGCACGGTGAGCGCGCCGCGCTCGCGGAGCTCCCGGCAAAGGCGGGCCCTGGGCCACCATGCATGCGCGCCGAGCCGCAGAAGCGAGTCAGAGAGCACCAGCACGTCGCCCAAGTCGCAGCGGCCCAGCAGCACTGGCGGCACGGGGAAGTAAAGGCTGGCCTTGGCGTCGTGCCCTTTGCGCTTCCCCCATTGACAGGCGTGAGGGGGCAGCGGCGCGACGGCAGGATGCCCCTCGCACCCCGCTGCGGAAATGCGCGCGCGAGCGCCGCTGGGCAACTGGAAACAGTTCCCCCCCACCTTCAACCCCACGGAGTCCGCCATCGCCTCCGCGGCGGCCGCCGCCAGGCTCCAGCGCGCGCACCGGCCCCTCGCGCGCGATCGGCGCGCTCTGCGGGTCGGAGACGAGGGTGGCCGCGAAGACGCCGAGGTTGTCACAACCCTCGGCGTTGCGTAGCGGGCGCCCTGCGCGGTCGTAGAAGGCCAGCACTTTCTGGAACGTGGCCTCCGAGCGCTGCAGCACGTCCTCGCGCACGTTCAGCTGCTCGGCGAAGGTGCCCCGCTGCGACTTCTCCTGAGCAGCGAAGCCCGCCGCGACGCCCAGCAGCGCGCCGAGGTCCCCCGCGCCGGAGAATGTCGCAGCCAAGCGCGCGAACGCTTCAGTGCGCCCAAGCTCGGGGTCCACCGAGAAGCCACCCTGGCGCGCGGCCTCGAGCACCGCGGCGACGCGGGCGCCCTCAGAGCCCACGCCCCGCGCTACCGCCGCGGCGACGAGGTGCGCGTTCTGCGGGGCCAGCGGCAGGCGGAGTATTTCCTCTCCCATGCGCGACAGCTTCGGCGCGCGCCCGCGGGCGTCGTCCACGAAGCCCGCATCGTCGGCCAAGAGGAAGGCGTCGCGAAGAGACTCGGCATCGGGGCTTTCGCCAGGCATCCAGACCAGGTCCTGCGCGGCGGCCCACTGGCGCCGATCGATGAGCCGCAGCACGAGCTTGTCGAGGCTCTCGACGTGGACGCCCGCCTCCCTCCGCGGCGCCAGCTCGTCTGTTCGGCAGAGGGGCAGGTGCCGTCCGGGGCGGGTGCGCCCCGCGCGCCCCCCCTGCTGGATGACGCACTGGCGCGAGGCCCACTGCGTCTCCATGGCGCTCACGCCGCCGCTGCCCCTGGCCGCGGCGTTGCGCCGGCACGTGGAAACCACCGAGACGAAACGCTCGAGGGTCACGCTGGAGCCCAGGGCCGAGGTCGTCAGGAGAGCCACGCGCGCGGAGGAGCGCTGCAGATCGTAGACCTCGCGCTTCATCGCGGGCGGCGCCCTGGAGTACATCTCCAGGACCGTCCAGCCCGGCAGCGCGCGCCGCAAGTTGCGGGCGGTTTTTCCAATATGCTGCTGGCCTGCGAAGAAACAGAGGATGCCGCCCAAGCCGAGTGACGCCTCCGCAATCACGACCTCCTCGGCCTGCGCGCGCAACTCCTCGTCGTCCGCATCCTCTGCGGGGCTCCGATCGAGCGCGAACTGGTGCAGCTCGTGCTCGCGACCCTCGACGTCCAGGAAGCAGACGTGGTCGGGGCCGAAGAAGGTCGCCATGGGGTCGCGGCACAGCGTGGCGCTCATGAGCACCAAGCGGAGCTGGCCCGAGAGCGCAAGCGGGCGCATGAGCATCTGCAGCTCGGACATGACGGCCTCCCTCTCGTGCGTCTCGTCCATGATAAGGACGCCCACCTCCGCCCACAGCTCCTCCTGCGCCAAGAAAGACCCGTAAGTCATGATGGCCAGGCGACTGTCCGGCGGGCCGGAAGGGCCGTCGCGCCCCGTGCACAGGCGCAGGCCCTGCGGGGCGCCCAGCTCCGCGCCCAGCCTGCGATAGAGGAGCTCCGCCGCATCCACGCCCGGCATGAGGATCACGACGCGCCAGCCGTCGTCGCTGCTGCTCGTGCGCAAGACGTCCAGCGCGATCTGCGGAACCTGCGTTGATTTGCCGGAGCCGGTCTCCCCCGACAGCACGGTCACGGGCATCCGGCGCAGCGAGTCCGCGATGGCCACCCACTGCGCGGCGGCAGGCAAGCGCGCCTGCTTCTGTGCGAGAGCCCGCGCGGCGGGCGAGAGTCGCCGCCCGTGCAACGCGGAGCGGCTCCGCGGCTCGGCGGCAGGGATGGGCGCGACGGCCGCGCGGGCCCCTGCGGAGAGAAAGGCGACGCCACTCGCAAGGGGCGCGGGCAGTGCCTCCATGACACAAGCGGCGGAGAAGTCCTTGGCGGGCAGGGTGATTGCTCTTGAGCCCACGAGGCTAGTCAACGGTATCTAGCGATCAGTCCAGCTTATCGAAGTCGACTCCACGGCAGGGGGGCACGCCTCGCGAACAGCACGGCGGACATCTCGCAATCGACCCGAGGGGGCGGTGGACATCGCGCAACCGCACCGCCGGGCAGTCGTTCAATAACCAGCGGGCCGCGCGCCCGAAAACCCCGGGAAATTCGCGCATCTTTTTTGATTGCCACTGGGTGTTCCAGCGGGGGTGCGTTTGATGTGGTCCGCGCAGCCTCTCGCAAGACTCTCGGGGCTCTCATGGTAGTCTCTTGGGGCTCCGTCGGTCGTCTTGGGAGCCCTCGGGGGCCGTCGCGGGTCTCTGTGGCCGTCTTGGGGTCCTTTGGGGGGACTCTTGAGCCGTCTGGGGGGGGATGTTTGGGGCCTCCTGGCTCGTCTTGAGCCGTCGAACAGCGGAAACGGTGAGGGGCCGTCTCGGGGCCCCCGGAGGCCGTTCGGGGTTTCTCTTTGGCCGGACCCTCTTGGGGGCCCCTTGAGCCCCGGGGGGCCTCTGATACCTCCAGAGGCCTCCAGAAGCCCCCGGGAAGCCCCGGGGCGCTTCTGGACGTCTCAGGAGGCCCCAGGAAGTCCCAGAAGGCACTTGGGGGGTCTCAGGAAGCCACACAAAAAACCAGGGGCGATCTATGTTCAGGTCCCGTGGAAGGCTCCGGAAGTGGTTGGTCGGGCTGCGGGGCCTGGGCAGCCGCGGAGAAACGCAAACTGGTGACACGTCCTCCTCGGCGCGAGGAGGAGGCGCAGGAGGAGGAGAAGGAGGAGGATGAGGGGGAAGGAGGGGAAGGAGGGGAGGGAAGGAGGGGGAAGAGGAGGAACATTTTTTCCACCCAGCGACGATACGCTCAGCACGGACGCATCGGAAGGTATGCCTTTCCATCAGGCGCCTCCGCTTGTGCATGGACTGGATTTCCTTTTCCAGGCCAAGCACATCGCAAAATAACTCTGTATAACCCGGCCTTGCCACGCATTCCGACAAAATCTCGGGGCCTCGGAACGCGCGGAATCGCACCTTCACCCCGCAATCCCCCGGCGTGTCGCGGGCCCTGAACCCGAAACCAACCGAGAGCCCCCCCGCGCGGCGAACCGAAACCGCCTGCAACTGCCCAGCGATGCACCCGAAAACCCGCCCGATGCCAACCCGCGGAGGTCATCGAGAGAACCCCAGTATATGATGTGAAATGGAAGAGTCGGCGGATGCTGTGCTAGCATGCAGAATCGGTCTCGCGCCCGAACGTCTTGCGCAATTCGCAGCAATTGTGTTGCACATTCTCCAGCGACAGCGGGTCGAAACCCCACTCTTTCAGGTCAGCAATCACACCGGTCGCATCTATTTCCCCGACGCTCTGCGCCACCTCGTCGCGAACTCTCACCAAATCGCTTGGTTGGCTGACGAAGGATTTGGGGCCCCGTTGTACTCCGCCGACTCCTTCGAGTCTCCAGGCGGCCGGGAATCTCCGAGACAGAGCAAATCACCCCAGGAATTCTGAGGAAAACCGTATTCAAAAGATAGGGAATCCAACAAAAATGCTTCCGGAAGAAACAAAAAGGCAGCCCACTAAAAAACCGGCGCCGCGGAGGGCGCAAACTGCTGACACGCCCATGGAAAACGAGGCCGGGGGCGGTCGGGAATCCCCGAGACAGAGCAAATCACCCAGGAAGTCTACGAAAAACCGTATTCAAAAGTTAGGGAGCTTGAAAAAAAACAGGAAGGAGAAAACGGGGCGGCCCGCTCAAAAACGGCGCAGCGGAAGGCGCTAACTGGTGACACGTCCATAGAAAACGAGGCCGGGCAGGATCTCGGTACCCTGGGACAGAGCAAATCAGAGACTATAACAGAAGAGCCCTGGAGAGATCCAAGATATCCAAGACGCCTCCCAGCACGCTTCCAAGGGACCCAAACGCGCCGCAGAGGCGAACATACAGTTTTAAATTGCTTCAATATAATATCAAGAACCCATGAGAGGCCACTCGCCTGGCCGGCCGCGAAGGGGGACGTCGGCAGAATGGCGCAAACCTGTTGGATATATTGGCAACTGCTGGCGCCGCCCCCTTGCCAACGACGTGTCCGTACTGAAAGATGCTGAAATTGGGGTCGGTATAGCTGAGAAACCTTGCAACTTGTAGAGCGCGCAGTTTCGGTGAGTTTAACCTCTCCTGCAGAACATCCATGATTTCTGATGAAGTTTGGCATTGTTTTAAAAATCGCACCGTTGAATCCAACCGGGTATCCATCCACGACATATAGGCGCCGATCAACTATGCGATGTTATCCTTGCCTGGGAGATCGGAACCTTTCGACGTCGATTTCAGTGTGCTAACGATGCCTGTCTGCATTGCGTGTTTCTGTATCCAGCCAAACTCTTCATCCTCAACCTCCACATCAGGCACTAACCAGCCATCTGGCTTCTTGCTATAATTGTTCGCGTGCCAAGTGCTGAAATTATCTGGGTTGTCGTCGAAAAAACGATTATATAGCTTCGGGTTGTGAATGAGTACCTGAGATCCGCCGCGGCGCCCTCGCTGGCACCGAACTCGGGAAGAGCGCATTCGAATGTTATGGGGCCCCGAGAGAGGCCCCCGGAGGGAGGGAAAATTGGCGCCAGCTAAAAAGGGAGCGCCGCGGAGAGCGCAAACTGCTGAAGCGCCCATGGAAAACGAGGCCGGGGGCGGCCGGGAATCTCCGAGACAGAGCAAATCACCCCTGGAAGTCAACGAAAAACCGTATTCAAAAGTTAGGGAGGCCCCAAAAAACCTTCGGAGGGGAGAGACGGGGCGGCCCGCTAAAAAACGGCGCCGCAGAAGGCGCAGATTGCTGACACGTCCATGGGAAACGAGGCCGGGACGGCCAGGAATCCCCGAGACAGAGCAAATCACCCTGGGAAGCCTCCGAAGAACCGTATTCAAAAGTTAGGGGCCTGAAAAAAAATTCCGGGGAGGGGAAACGGTGGCGGGCGCCGGGAAATTTGCGCCGCGGAAAGCACAGACTGGTGACGCGCCCATGGAAAACGAAGCCGGAGAGGACCTGGAACCCCCGTGAGAAGCCAAATCGCCCCGGGAAATATTCATAAAAACCATATCCAAAAGTTAGGGATCCCATAAATTGGCAAGGATGAAGATGAAAAGAAAAAACCATAGGGTCGCGCGCCACGGGCGCGGTTTCAGGGGCATGTCGCAGACGCCCGGATACAACGATGATTCGCAACCCTGCCACGTCCAACCCTGTGGAGCCCCTAGATAAATAGTGTTGCGCGAGACGTCTGCGAGCCTCGAGAGACATTCGCCCACATTGCCAGGCTACCCCGCTGAGCTTGTGGGTCCTCAAGCGCTCGTACCATTCCTCGTATCCATCGAGGAGCTGGGGGCGACTGCCCAAGCGCACGAGAAGTGCACTGCCCATCGTCACTACGAGCGTTGCAAGCATCACAGCCGTAAACACCACGCTGGCATCGCTCTTCTTCGGGGCAGGGGGCATGCGCACGCGTGCGCCGGCCCACGTCATCAATGCCCATGCTAATTCAGCTGCGCCGACTGCCTTCTCCGCATCTTTAGCATGGCGCTGGTCTGCCTTGGACAAAGATGCTATGGCTGCTTTTTTCTTGTCCCCACCGTGCCCAAAATAGTTTGCCAGGAACTGACCGCAACTGTTCTGGATCATCCCTGCTGCGTTTGGGCTCTTGCCACCCCTTGCGCCTCAGGCAACTTCATAATTAACAAAGCGATTTCGTCCCTGGTTAGCAGAAGTGTCTTGCCGTCTTGTGCATACTTCGGCTTTACTTGCCGCAGCGTGGGCCCTCCGAGCTTCGACTGCAACGTTTTTTGGGCAACTCTTTCTTCCGAGTAATTGCACAGCAAGGCCACTGCTCTGACAGCGCAGATAGTGTCTCCATCGCTAACGTGATCTAGAAACGCCTGTTTCTGCATTGTCGTCCGGCTTACTCGGCGGAGAAGTTCTGCGAGAGTTTCCTGGGCCAAACTGGCTACGGACCCTCCCCCATCCTCCTCCTCCTCCTCCTCCTCCTCCTCCTCCTCCTCCTCCTCGTCCGAGGCGGCGGCGCCAGCCCGCAGACGTTGGAATAACAGCCTCGAAACGACACAAGAGGGGCGGCCTTGAGCAGCCCAAGAGGGCCCTAAGACATCCCAAGAGGAGCCCATACCGACCAAGCGTAGTCGGCACTCGCTTTCGAAGTCGGCTCCAGGACGCGGCCCGAGGCAGTTGGAGGGGCGAGGAGGGGCGGCGGCATCGGGGCCCCAGATCACCCCAGGACGGCTCGAGAGGCCCCACAGACGGCCCACGAGGCCCCCAGGAGGGCCGATACAGACCAAACGTGGTCGGTATCTCGGCCCCAGATCACCCCGCGACGGCTCGAGAGGCCCCCAAGATGGCCCACGAGGGCCCCAAGATTGCCGATACCGACCAAACTTGGTCGGTATCAGAGCCCCGGATCACCCCAGGACGGCTCGAGAGGCCTCCAAGACGGTCCATGAGGGCCCCAAGAAGGTCGATACCGACCAAACTTGGTCGGTATCGGGGCCCCGGATTACCCCAGGACGGCTCGAGATGCCCCCAAGACGGTCCACGAGGGCCCCAAGAGGGCCAATACCGACCAAACTTGGTCGGTATCGGGGCCCCAGATCACCGCAGGACGGTTCGAGAGGCCCCCAAGACAGCACACGAGGGGGCCCAAGAGGGCCGATGCCGACCAAACTTGGTCGGCATCGGGGCCCCGGATCACCCCAGGACGGCTCGAGGCGCCCCCAAGACGACCCACGACGCCTCCAAGGGGGCCGATACCGACCAAGTTTGGTCGGTATCGGGGCCCCCGATCGCCCCAGGACGGCTCGAGAGGCCCCCAAGACGGCCCACGAGGGCCCAAAGATGGCCGATACCGACCAAACTTGGTCGGTATCGG